TAGCTAAGGTATGGTGTCCTTAAGTCAGCCTGCCTTTTCTACAGATTTCTTTGGTTGGCCTTTTAGTCAGCTTCTCTCTGCATTGATCTGCCATGCACTCTGGAAAATATTTCACATATTTAAATATCCAACTTTTCTCTGTCTCCCTTTTCCCCTTTGGCTTCCCCTGACACATAAAAGTCTAGGATTTACAACATACTTCTCTGGAAACAAGTGGAAGATAAGACAGCCTCACCCTACTTCTATGTGAATGAGTTATTTGTTGGTAATTTAACTAAACATTTATCAAGCACTTAAAAGTATCATGAACTGTTCTAGACACTTAAGATATATCCTCAAACAAAACATTCAAGATTCAGCTGTGATGGAGGTTATAATCGACAGAATGAGACTGAGAATAAATATAATAACCAAAAAAATATTATACATAGCTATCTCAGTACCATCTGTTAGGTGGTAATAACATGACTTAATAGTACTGAAGAAGAGAAAAGTAGAGTCAAGTGAGGGGGACTGGGAATGTGGGGGAAGGTGGACAGGGGCCTATCTGAGGTTTAAATAGTGTCGTTAAGATGGCCTTCTCTGAGAGGGTGATGCTCAAGCTGAGGCTTAAGGGAGATGAGTGAAGTGGCCCTTTAACATTGGGAAGAAGAGAGTCTGATGGCTCATGCAAAGGCCTGATGTATCTGAGCCGGCAGGCCAGTGCAGCTAGAGTAATGTAAGACTAAAGAGCAAAGATGAGAACAGAGAGGGCATGGAGACAGATTATGTATGGTTTTGTAGGCCATTGTAAAAAGACTTTGAGTCAGGCATGGTGGTGCACTCCAGGAATCCCAGCCACACTCAGTAATCTGAAGCAGGAGAATCATGAGTTTGAGGCCAGCAATTTAGCAAGACCCTGTCTCAAAAATTAAAAAGGACTAGGGATAGAGCACAGTAGTAAAATGACCATGGGTTTAATTCCCAGTACAAAAAAATTAAAAAATAAAAAGACTTTGAGCAAAATATGAAGCCATTGGAAAGTTCTAAGGAGAAGAGTGACATCAATCAGAAGGTTGGTTTGTTTATTTGTTTATCTATTTATTTATATATATTGGGGATTGAACCCAGGAGCCCAATGACACTTTACCACCGAGCTACGTCCCCAGTCCTTTTTTAAAAATTTGAGACAGGGTCTCACTATATTGCTTAGGCTTCACTAATTTGCTGAGTCTGGACTTGAATTTGAGGCCCTCCTGCTTGATTCTCCTACCTCAGCCTCCTGAGCCTCTGAGATTACAGGCATGTGTCATGGTGCCCACCCAGATGTATATTTTAAAATAATAGTTCTGACTCACAGTGAAAATGGACTATAGAGAAGTGAGGGTGGAACTAGGAAGGGCAGGTTGACATCTAATGAAATAATTCATGGGAGAGATGATGGTACTTAGTGTGACAAGTGACCTGATTCTGGATATAATCTGAAGGCAGAGCCATAGGATTGACTTGTGGAGTTGTGGGAGGAAGGTGATTGCAAATTTCACCCAGAAGTTTTTGGCCTGAATAACAGGAAAGGTGATGTTGCTATCACCTGAATTGGGAAGAGCTGCAGGAGATGCAGCTCTGTGGGTGTGGGGGGTTGGGGAGGAGTCCGTGTTAAAGTGTTGATGATGTTGAAGTTGAGGTGTCTCTTGGACATCCAAGTCGGGGTGATGAACATCAGCTTCCTGTGCATCTGGAATTGGAAAAGAAGCCTAAACTGAACATGGAAATTTGGGAGTGGTCAGCTTATGGGTGGTATTTAAAGCCCAGGGATTCTAGAGACATAAGTGTTTTTCTCAGTAATTCCATTTTTATTCTAAGACACTCAATGTTTAAAAATGACTTCTCACATATTTAAGTATACCTAGCAGTACTAGCAAAATAACATTCACACTGGAAATAAATTCAGTCCTCTTACCCTGAGCTGTCTTCACTAGCCCTTGCTGCTTTGGCATCTGAGCATCTGTGTAAAGGAAAGAACTGATCTGAAACTGGACAGGCATTTTGATGTGTAGAGGAGTTAAAAGCAGAGCATACTCATCCTCTAGGGCAGGAGAGGCACTGGGTAGAGGTGAGAGGGATGCCTGGCATGTAGTTCACAGCTTGATGGGCATCTAAGGGGCTCTGCTGGCCTTGGCACCTCAGTACTGAAATGAGCCATGGTCTGTCTGGGCAGTTTCCTAGATGCACATCTCTAGAGGCTGAAAACATCACCAGGTATGGACAAGCTATCTGTTACTTGAACTAATCCATCACCATGATAGACATGGAAGGGCTTCTCTTTTGCTGAGAGAAGGGCTTCTCTTTTGGACAGGTATACCCCTTTGGGGCCAGAAATGAATCTCTTAGGGAAGCAGAGGAAATACTGAGAGTTGCCACCCATCATGCTTCTCATACTCAGCCCTTCTCTAAGAGTCTTGAGCCTCTGCTCTGAGGACATTCTTAAAGAATATCTGTTAGGAGGGAGAGCAAATTCCCAACAAGCTGGGGTTCCTCACTTGTCTTGGGCCCACTGAGATCACAGGTCAGCCCAGGTGGGAAACATGGTCAGAAATGAAGTAGTGGGTTGGGAGGGCACATAAGAATCTTAGCAGGCAGCAGGACTTGGACATGGATAATCCATTGACTGGATATGCCTAGGCCTCTGGTGAGGCAGATGCCAGGTTATGTGTTCAAAACTCTCTTTCTCATGAAGGGAAGAGCCAGTCAGGGCTTCAGGGTCTGAGAGGGGGCAAGGAAAGGGAACTGAGTTTTATTGATGCTTGATAATATGTTCAGATTATAGATAGGTTGGTAGAGAGGTGTACAGCAGCTATATTTGCTTTTAATTCTCAGAATAAACTTGATGGTACTATCATTCCCTTTTATAAATGAAGAATCTAAGAAACCCCAGTCACATGCTGATCAGAGGGAAAGACTGGTAGAACAAAATTCAGATTTGCCTCTCATCCAAACCTGTCACCTCACACTTTGTGGAATCTTAGCTATGGAAACCAGAGCAGAAGCATTAAGGACCAGAGAGGAATCCACAGGCTGGTGCTTGTGCATCGGCCCAGCTGCTGCTTCCCTGGATTAGAGTGTTGTGGAGTGAGGAAGTGGCTGCACATGACTCCACCGTGGGACACTGCAGGGTGGGTGTGATTCACTGTGAAGGATGGCCAGAGGCACAGCATCAAAGTCTGGTCAGTAAGGTCATCTTAACAGGAAGTCACTTAATTCCAAACCCCACAGTGGGGAGGGCCAGAAGCAATTAAAGGATTTTCTAGTCTAAGTCAAGATTAACTCCATGACTCCAAGGAGAGAGGCATCAGTTAAACCAACTGTGGGAATCTGGGTGAGCCAAATGGAGTCTAGTGGACTGATGTTTAGGATATTATTCTACAGACGAGGGAATCTAGACCAAGGAGAGGAAGTGGGTGGACCAAGAATATCCGACCAACAGAGGCCCAGCACCCAGACCTCATCCTTACCTGCCTTTGGGTTTTGTCCACCATGCCCAATTATCTCCCAGTGGCCTTTGGTCCTTTATAATAACAGTGACATCAACTCTTGAGGCTTTCACTTTCCTATTGTAAAACTACTTTTCATGCATATGAATGATTTGAGAAGAGAGCTAGGAAGTAAAGGTTTGATCACGGCTACTTGGCTACTTGATCTGAGAGGAACAGATAAAAAAATAGGAGAGAACCTAAGTAAACAGCATTAAAATATTTAGATGATATCAGATGGTTCTGGGCAGGTTCTTGATTGTTCTGTGCCATAAATTCCTTATTTGTATGCTGAGAATAATGGCAACACTCCCTTTACAGAAGTGCTTTGGTGGTTAAATGAGATAATATGTGAAACCGACTTAACTCAGAGCCCAACTGAGTGATTCATGTGCTAGCATTCAAAAACATTAGCTTCTGTTTCTTACTAGAGAAAGGAAAGGTGATGGATTCCAATATTCAGTGCCATTTGCAGGAGGTGGGTAGCATAGCAGGCTGTTATACTGATAGATGTTCCTTGCTTTATGCTTTATGATATGCATGTTTCAGACTGTTCAGCTCTACTCACTGCTGGATGCCCTGCAGTTTAATTTAAACATTCCCATCAAAGGTAATGCCACTCTGGCCATTTTCCTATTGCCACCAAGCATGATAGCCAGGTTCTGAAATCTACAATATAATGCCATTACCTTCTCCCCACTTCCTCCTATAAATGGTATCATTTTGATCTTATCAAATCCGTGCAAGAGAAAATGTTATGTCAAGCAGGAAATTATGATCAGATTTTAGGATAGTGAGCAAGACAAAATTTTAGGAAGCCAAACCTGAGTAGCATACAGATAGATTTAATTTGACCCTTTTCTTCCTAGGAAATCCTGATCTTTTGGTTATGAAACCATTTGGACCCTCCTGTCGACTGTGTTCTGTAACTAGAGCATGAGGGGGTCTTCCTTTCTTGTTCTGGAGAGGGAGAGACTGACTATCTTCATGCAAATTAGTCTTCTTTGTTAAAAAACTTCAGGGAACTCATCTATGAAATGTAGATTCACAATAAGAAATGCAGTGTGTCTTTTGGTTCTTCTTTCAACTGATATATAAGATTGTTTCCCACAGTATGGACTACTTTAAAAAAAACGTGTTTTATCTTAATGCCAAAACTCCAGCAATGCCTTTCACTGCCTTCAGGGGTGGTGGAGGAGATGGGGGAAAGCATCTGTTTAATACTACATTATTTTCAGATTTTTCATATAGTATAAATGAATGCAAAAAGTAGGACTGCTGTATTAAGACAAACTACTATAGTTGTTAAAGTTCTGAGCTTTGTTTTTTTTCTTTTCAGCTGTGATTACACATACATTTCTAATTGGGTATAGCACATAAAATTTGTTAATAATGAGTAAAGATTATTGTGATAATGTCTGACACTACATAAATTATCTCATTCTGACTGTATTAATTGAGATAATTTTTTCCCTTTCACTTGTATTTCAGTGACAATTTCAACGAGCACCTTCTTTGACGGCTTGCTGGTGACAGGACTGTACACCTCTACAAGTGTTCAAGCTTCACAGAGCATTGGAGGTTCTAATGCTTTTGGATTTGGTAAGCTAGTAATTGTGAATGTTTTATTAGTTTCAAGTGTTATTTTTTGTTGTTTTTGTTTTGGAAATAAATGTTTTAAAATATTCAACATTTATTATTTAAGAGAAAAATTTTCAAAGTGATTTTTGCGTGTGTGGTGCTTGAAGCTGGGTGAGACGAACTGTCTCATTAATGTTTAGCCAACCATGAGCTCAGTGTGATGATCTTTCTGTCTATTTCTCCACTGATCACCACTGTTACTATTGGTCCTCTGGAACTCATATAAATTTCTGAGTTCTGTCATTTAGGTTGCTGGAATTCATTCTGACCTGAGTGCAACCATTCAGTAACCTGTTCTTATAAACAGTTATTATATTTTGATATTTTAATTTTCAGTGAAAAGTGTGTTAAGTTTGGCAAGTAGGCATTCCATGGTGGACTTAGTAATATTTGTTAAAATAATTTAATTCTATGACTATTTATAAAAGAACACCATTTAATATTTTAAATACTTATATGGAGTCTTTGTCCTTAGATCAGAGGCCTAGCAGATTACTTATGTGGAGAGGCAGAAAGCTACATGATGGCCACTAATCCCAGAGGATTCTCGGTTTGGAAATCTCTAGTTTGCCCAGAATGCTGTAAACATGCCAAGCTGGGATTAAGTAGACCCTTCATGGCATCAAAAATGCAAATTTAATATACCCAGTTTATATAAGACTGAAAGCACTGATGTTATTCTCAAATTGGAAAACTACACAGGACTTCCTATATTGAAATGAGAAAGATAAAATTGCATTGTCAAAGGCAGTCAGGTGTTCAACATTTTAGTTTTTTTCTGTGATACTTATTAAAGAAATAATTTTTACATACTTTTGATGTATGAAAGGGGGCCTGCTCTGTGTGAGTCCCAGCAGTAGCTCTGTTCAGGTGACTTATTGACAGATGTCAGAGAAATAATGTTGATACTGCATTGTCATGCTGCTTGTCATGATGAGGTCCATAGCCACCAGTTTAAAGGAACCTGGAAATCATGTTAATATCATGTTAAATTGTCTTACGTTGAGAATTTGGCCCATTTTCAAAAGATCTCAGGTAAGATTTTATAATCTGTGGGTAACTATTTCTAAGGTCTAAACCTCAGGAATTTTTTGCCCTTAGGTCTAATTATTCCACTTATTTAACCCCATCATTTTTGTGCTCTGCCCAGATGAAAGGTCAGGTTAACAACCATGTATTAATGTATGTGTGTAAATATATTATATACTACCTGTTTTGTTACAGCAGGACCTGTAAGTACCATTCCCAGATTTAACAAATAAAAATATAAGACACCCAATTAAATGTGAATATTACTTCATTTTATGTATATATTGATTGATTGAGGTCCTGGGGATTGAACCTGTGGTCTTGTGAATATTAGGCAAGCACTCTACTGCTGAGCTACATCTCAAGCCCTAAATTTTAGATAATTTTTTTAGCATACTTTTTTAAAGTATTTATATTCCTGGGCTCTACCCCACCCCAATTAAATCAGAAACTTTGGGCATGGGGTTTAAACATTGGCAATTTTAAAAGTTCTTCGGGTGCTTCTAATGTTTATCCAGGTTGAAAACTGTTATAGTGGATCAGGCCTCTGTCCTAAAGCATCAGCATCAGCATCACAAGGGATGTTGTAAGTGCAGAATTGCATGTTTACTCCAGAGTAAATCAGAAACTCTGGGAGTGGGAACCTATGGTCATTTAAAAAAATATACATTCTAGGTGATTTTGATGCATGCTGAAATATGAGAGCTACTAGTCCAGTGGGAAGACAGTGATTAAATGACCATATAAATATATTATAGCAAGCCTTGCTAGGGGCTGGCAATATTTAGCTAACAGGCTGTGGAAGGTGGAGCACAACATATCCAAGGGAGGAACAAAATGTGCGAAGTTCTCAGCCTGGGAGAGGCTGGCTATGTTCTAGGGGTTGAAGAAAACTTTGGAATGGCTGGAATTGCAATCAAGAGAGAAAGAGATAAGGCTGGATAGGAGCCCAGAACCAGACCATCTGGTATATTATATGTCTTTATCCTAAAGAAGGGAAAGACTTTGAGAGTTTTAAGCTGAGGAGTGACTTGACCAACTTTTCACTTTACAAAGATCACTGTGGTGTCAGTGTAGTGAACAACCCAGAGCTCTGGAGTGGATGAAGAAAGACAGTTTTGTGGTTAAGGATTCTGGTATGTGTAAGAAGTCAGGTACAGGCTGGCCTCAGCAGCAAGAAGGAACTGTATGTAGAAGGGTGTTTTAGGTAAGTTTTTCATTGTTGTGACTGAAAGACCTGAGAAGAACACTTTGAGAGGAGGAAAAGTGTATTTGGTGCTCACAGTTTCAGAGGTCTCTGTCCACACATGGCCAACTCCATTGCTCTGGATCCAAGGTGAGGCAAAAATCATGGCAGAAGAGTATATCAGAGGAAAGCAGCTCATGGCAACAAGGAAGAAAGATTGGGGGGGTGGTGGGCGTGGAGAGGGAGAAAGAGCCCAAGCACGAGTGCGTGCCTCACCACAAACAAAATATAAACCAAAGCCATGCCCCCAGTGACCCACCTTCTGCAGTTGCACCTTACCTGCCTACAGTTACCACCCAGCTAATGCCTGTCAGGGGATTAATGCACTGCTTAGATCAAGGCTCTCATGACCCAGTCATTTCAGCTCTAAACTTTCTTGAGTCACACATGAGCTTTGAGGGGGACAGCTATTAGCTAAATCATAACAAGAGGGAAGTGTTTGGGCTGTTGAATCACATAGACCAGCTATGGATCCTGGTCCCATCTCCCCCTGTCCCCACACTTAGTTCATGTCAGCTAAGTTGCTTTATCACATTAAGTTTATTTCCCTCATCTATGAAATGGTGATGATAATGCAACCTGCTTCTTAAGATTTTAGATTGCCTTGAGGATTAAAGGAGATGATTTATATAAAAAGTCTTGAACACATAGCCGGGCACTATGGTGCACACCTCTAATCCCAGCGACTCCAGAGACTGAGGCAGGAGGATCATAAGTTCAAAGCCAACCTCAGCAACTTAGTGAGACTCAACAAAAAATGAAAAGATCTATGGATGTTGCTCAGTGGCAAAGCACCCCTGAGTTCATTCCCCAGTACTATAAAGAAAAAAAAGTTTTGAATACATAGAAAATACTCAATAAAATTAGCTTTCCCCAAATTAAAAACCATTGTCACTAAAAAAGCAGCCAGTTCTTTAGTCCATAACTTGTATACACCCTTGGGGGGCAAAAAACCCTTAATTCGAAAGTGTGATTAATCTGGGATATGTAGCTCAAGATGATTGTGAGGACCTGGTTGAATTAAGTAACTATTATTTGTCAATTTTAGGGCATTAAATAAGGAAAATTATGAATGCATGATCATTTATAAGTGTGTTGCAAAGACATTTTCAAAGAACATAAAAGGTACTCATGTCATGTTGCTTCAGATTTTATCTAGCAAGACAAAAATCTAAGAATGAAATTGTTAGAAATTATTTAAGAAATTTAGGCTTTAAAACATTTTTTTTTCTGGAGTGACTTTGAGAGCCATGAGAAAGTACTTTTTACTGGAATTAGAATGTGTTTTAATTAGCCTAAGTTGCACTTAGCCTTCCTATTACTATGAATATAATGTCAATGCTTCCATGGTCCAAAGAGGCTTCTGAACATGGGTAGAAACTGCTTATGATAATCTGAATTCTATAACCAAGTATTCAGGTGATTTTATATGGATGAATAGATAGGTCAAACCTTTTTTACATTCTAGTAATATCCAAAGGATTTCATCTGTATTTTTGTGATAGTAGTAAATAATAAAAAATTAATAATATGCCTGACTTGATGACAGTTAAATTTCATAAATAATGTTTTCAATGGTAAGCAGGAGATAAAACTGTCCTTTTAGATAAAATGACCATTTTTGGAAAAAATTATAACTTTCTGGCATTTGATTTAGATTTAATACGTTCTTTACAATTTAAAAAACAAATAAGATTTTGTTTGTTAAGGCACAGGTAGGAAAGTAGAGGCAACTTATAAAAGATAAAATTTAAAAGATTTGCTGCTTTTGGTAGTATAGTGATTCTGTTAGGATCAGCCTTAAGCAGTATTCTTTGATGTAGAACAAAAGAGTTATTGAATACATACTCTATCATTAGTTTCTGACTGTTTTGATGGAAAGGTAAGCAAACATGGTTTGCTTGGCATTTTCCCAACATATCATAGGATTAGTGTGTGATATGTTTAACTAGCCATGACAAATAATAAGAAAAGTAGATAGTCCAATAGGCATTCTGAAAGGTTTTTTTTTTCTTCTAGAGTTAATTTTAATTGTATTAAAAACACCTAAGATACAACTACTCTCCTTTGAATATCAAATGTGTGTATGACTGGCCAAAATAAGACCATGGTTATTCTTGAGATACTGTTGTAGAAATGTTAATCCCACTAAGGTAACTATAGCCTTTTATGAAAAACCAGAATTCTTTAAGTAAAATGCATGCCTCACTGACCAAAAATAGACACATGCCTAGTAGCCAGAAATACATTAAAACAATAGCTATGCCCAGGATGACTGGACACCCAGCAATGCCTGATTTGAAATACCTCATTTTGCTTGTCAATATAAGAAAACACGCTGCCCTGGGGATGTGTGATGTTTAATTATGGATATCTCTTTGTGCATCCCAGGGGGGGGGAAATGCTTTCCCTCTTGTCTTTGGCTTTGAATTCCAGCTCAATCATGTAAATCTTCAAGGCCTATTGTGGCCGTTCAATGAAGGGATATTTGAATATCCTTTCATGTAAAATTGTTGCCTTACAAGGCAGAAATGCATTTTACTCAATATTTAATACTCTGGCTTTAAAACGTGAGAATCAAGTTTGCAGATCTGATGGGTAGCTGCCATACTTCGAATTGTTAAACCCTGTATAAATTAAACATAAGTACTTTCCAGTTCCTAATATTGTTCACCTAATACAGCAT